TTATAACGCCCCCACGACTGAAAGGGCGAGCATGTTCGGTGTGACGGGGATTCGAACCCGCAGATTGCGAGTCGAGCTCCCTAACCACCTGGCCATGCCGGGCCCAGAGGATTTGACATCAAGGGGATTTCTGAAATTTGAATTAACTTGGAAATCAATTAAGATAGAAATCATTTTGGAATTCCTGGGTACAAGTTATTCAACAGTAATAGATTAGCAAAAAAGGATGATGGTGGTGATGGCTACTTACGTTAAGGAAGAGTTGCAACTAATCAAACTTGAGGCTATTTAAAATGTAGAATTCTTATGAAAATACTATCTCTTATTCAGACTCAGGGGGTTGATGGGATGGTTTATAGAGAACTTTTAACGTTTCCAATATTAACTTGGATTGTATGTATTTCTAGATTAGTACAGGATAGTTTACATCATCAACTGATTAGAATAGCAACTAGGAATTTTAGATTTGATATTAACTACTAATGAGTCTTGTTCAGGTTGAGTTGAAGCATTTGGGAGAAAGTTTGAAATTTGATGGTGAGTTGGTTGATTTGAATATTCATACAAAGCTAGACAAGGGCCATCTATGCTAGCCATTCCTAATTTTGAACTGACAGACTAGAGGGAAGGCAACTAGTAAAAAATAGCTCTTGAGCTAATCTAATCAAACAGTGAAATTTGACTTTCAGCGTTATAATACACATATGGCCCAAAATGCAGAGCATGATTTTGCAACAATGGATTGATATAATCTAATTCCAAGAATTTTTAAATGTGATTGGTCAAGTTATAAATAATCTATTACTTGTGAAACTTGGGTGTTTTTCAACCTTCAGGAATACCTATTTATGCAAGTTGATAATATAAATACCGACTAAACCACTGATGTATCCGTGATGTCCCAGCCAGCTTGATGGACCCTTGTATTGGACGACAAACCTCTTCGGCACTATATGTATAGCAGATGTAGTGTTGTTGACGTATTATTATACATTCTTTACTTTTACTCGCGGGCGTGGTGGTTAGGGCGTTCTACTTGCTATCTACGGCTCGCGTATTAGAATCTCCGTCACCGAACATACTCTCCCTTTCAGCCGTGGGAGCATCATATGGTAACGGTCAGACCCACTATTCATCAGTAAAAGACTAGCCCAGCAGTTGGCGGTAGGTGGTGTTGACTAGCTGCTTTCAATCTAGTTTATCACTGCAAAATTTGGGACAGCTAGCGCAGATAGTCCTCGAGTAGCATTGCGCGAAATTCAAAATAAGTCACGCCAAACTTTTACTCATAAGGTCTTAGAATTTAGACATGGAAGAAGAAAGACCAATTTAAAGAAATTGTTTTTTATTTTTCATGTTGTTTGCTTGCTGCCAACTAGTGCATCCTTAGGTTTTTATTCAGTATTTGTCACTTTCAGTTCATTTCACTCAGATAATTTTCAGATGTTCTACGTATGCCATTTGCAGGAATTTGTAGAGTGGCTAAGAACCGCCTTTGTTCAGGGATATGAATACATGCAAAAATAAGTAGGTAAAACGGCTATATGTCAAAAGGTTAGGATAAAAAGCAAAAAAAGACATTGTGAATGTGAAGACCATGTTTTAACTGTGAGTTCAACTCGACCGTGGCTGAGACCGGAGTAATTACGTTGCTTAAAAGACTGACCTTGACAGTAACATCAATCTCCAATTCAATTGGACAACTAGGTCGGCTGATGAGGATAGCTTAGACAGAAAACATTTATACACACTACATTTACACATATATATATATTGAGACAACAGTAAAGAATCGTTTGTCTCGAGTTGAATTTTAATATGGTATTTTGAAAAGCAGTATATTTTCAGGATTGACCGCTGTCACTGTAAAAGTGGTTGTTCTGCTTGGGTGAAAGTCATTGTGGAGAAGCTGGCTACGACATTAACAATGCGTTGTTTGATATATGGATAAGTAGTTTAGATTCTTGTTACGCTATAGAAACAAGTAGTGAGAGGATGGGTTTACATAACGTATATTCACAATAAGACAATTTAATACACAGTTAACGAGACAGATATGATTTTGTGTAACTTAAGGTGTGTGAATTAGACAGGTAAACTGTTGGTACGTTGGCTCTATACTGTAAATAGTAAAGACGAGAAATCTGGTCCAGCCACTCCTACACCAGTAGTGGCCAGGGAAAGCAATAACTAGAAGCTTGTGAACTCATCAGTCGTGGGGAAGTAAAGAATCCTGTAATCAAGAATGAGAAGTCCACCTGGACATTAGGGAAGACGTAGAAAAGAAAAGCCGACACTGTGTCAACAGCCAAAGTATTAAACAATACAGCAAGACTGCTGTGGCAAAACTTGTCAACCGCCAAAGTATTGAAGAATACAGCAAGACTCTTGTGGCAAAACTTGTCAACAGCCAAAGTATTGAACAATACAGCAAGACTGTTGTGGCAAAACTTGTGGAGGACCTACTAACATATGCCATTAAAACAATACACCAAGACTGTTGTGGCAAAACTTGTGGAGGAACTATTAACATATTCCGTTCAACTTAAAACTGCTTACAGACTATCTAATGGACAGAAACCAAACCTGATATATTCACAAAGAAGAGTAGTAGTAGGACAAAAAGAATGAGGGAAAAAAAACACACACGCACGTGAAGCTTTGTTGAGCTCGAGAGGAATTCGTCCCAGAGAAGCAAAATTTCCAAAAGGCTAAGCATATCCTTTGTTAGACACCATCAGAGGGCGAGAGATCTGTCGTGATTCTCAGAATCCTTCTCATCTACTTCAAGTGTAATTTTGACGTAACTTAGTTACATATATGTGTGAATACCTACGACAGGAGGATAAGGATATCTAGTCATTTGTGCAATATTTAAAGTCCGATGTGGTTTTTATTTTATTCTGTCCCGAGTGTTTAGTCATTTAATTTAATTTAACATTACGTTCAAGTCTAATTTAAACTATTAAACATTATGATGGCTATTGTAAGTAAACTGTAAGCTGGTAATTATGTGTATTTTAGGTTTGTGGTTTATTTATTTGTTTGAAACGTTTATGTCGTATTTTGATTTCTGAGTGTTCCTTTAAATATTAAATAAAAATCTAAAAATATCTTGTGAGTATGTTATTTTGTTCAAAGTTTAAAGTAGTATTTTAGTAAATAAACCTAAGAGGTTTTCTGTGAATTCACTTTATATCGATTTATACCACGTAAAGTGTAAATGATTATTGTATTTTTCGTTCTATTGTAACAACTATTAAAGATATATATATATATAATTTAGTTTTAGAGGATTTTCCTGTTTAAAGTTGTGATAATGTAGTTTAAAACTGGATTTAATGACCTGTTATTTTATTTAGTATTGGTTCAAAATGTTTTGATTCTGTCTGATCTGTGTGTAGAACTTATTTTTATTTATATTACTTTGTGTGTTAAAATTTGATTGATTATTGTGATATTATTCAGTTCTAAAGTGCACTTGATCAGTAATCTTCAGTTTGTACTTAATTTTTCCATTCAGTTTTTGATTGCATGTGTTATTTTATTTATTTGTTGCCCATTTAATTTGCAATGATAGTTCCTTCTTTTGAAATAGATATAATACAGTTTGATTTTGAAACTATGTTTCAAAATGGACAGTACTTTCGTCTCGAATATTTTCAGTTCATTTTCTGTTGGATTAAATTACTTTTATCCACCAAGAGTTCACAAGAGAGCTTCTGTCTCGTAAGTTCATAAAGTGAGTTTGCGTTTGAATCTTCTGACATCTTCTCCAATTTATTTTACTCAAAGTCACAGACATTTCATCTACACTTCGATCATTTGATCCTCTTGTAATTAACAAAAATCTGCCTATTTGTATTCAAGTTTCTTGAACCTTAATACCATATTGTGTACTGTAAAACAAAATATTCCTTTAGAAATTTTACTCGATAAATAAATCTTTCAAATAATGTGCATGGTTTTGAAAAGTATTGCATTTAACTTTGTTAACGTTTCATCTAAGGACACAAAAAATTATATTATATATATATATATATATATTGACTGTCTTCCAATGTTTAAGCGTAAATAAATATGAGCGTAAACTTGGCTTAAATAAATCCTAGAGGAGCCAAGAGTATAAACTGTCACACGAATGATCTCCTTTGGCTTGTTGATCGAAACTGGATTTTCACAGTATTACCTGTAGTATTTCGTGCTCTAGTGATTATATAGCCATAGTTGAGAGTTTAGTTAAATGTGTATCGCTATACCTTAATGGTTGAGTTTGGGAATTTATTATAACAGTATTCCCAATCTAATGTAGAAATATCTGAATAAAATATGTGTTTAAAGTTGAAAGTTGGTGATGAAGAGTGCTGTTGAAAAGTTCGGTTGGGTATTAATTTCGTTGATAAAGTTTATTACACTTAATATGATTCATGTTTTGAAGTAAAATGCATGGTCAATAAGTGAGGAGGCTTGGAAGATTTTAGTGTTGTAAGTCTGCAAACTTACTTACTACTGTTCCACTGGGGGACTTGTGTAAGAAGATATAATGAAATTACCATTGAACTAATTGGCAGGCATATATTTCAAGCTAAGCCTTTTCTTAGTTGTTTGAAATAGAAACTCACGTTGTAGTTATGAGTATAGAAATTAGCTGTTCTGATAATCAACAGAGACCAAACTTAGATAGCGTATCCGGTGTCTCCATATTAAATAATACAAGTTTAATACTTGGTTATTAAATGTTACCTCTAATGTGTAGTTTAGAAAAAGAAAATGTATTATCTAGTAAAGCAGTAATCATTTTATTGTTGTGACTGTTTTGAAAGTTGTCCGATAAGATGTTGTAGAACTTAAAGTTTTGAAGAACGATTTTTTTTATCTATGTGACCATCCTACAATTGTTTAAACGTGCTCGCATGCAGTTTTGTAAATAGTTTTATGTTGGTACGTGACCGTCATTATGGGCTTGAGGCTACAAGCTACTGGTTGATGTGAAATACCTTTTACTCGTGGATTAGACCCGGGCGTTGCTAGTGGTAAGACAGGGGCGTAGCCAGGGAGGAGAAGGGGCGACCACCTTGATATTCTATTAAGTATAAAAGGTCCATTATAAACACTTGACTTTCACGTAAATCACTTAAATTCTTTGTGTAGGAGAAAAAGTATACTTTTTTTTTAAAAGGCCGCCACACACACACTGTAATTCTACCTACTCCCCTGTAAGGGTCTTTGACCTGACAGTTTGCTCAAATTGAAAATACCAAAAAATGAAAAATTTTGGAAGAATAAAATAAAAATTCAGAGTTTCACAACAGGTTAAATATGTTAATCTATGCACACACAAAATTGTTGTCAATACACAATGTTTCTACTAAATTCAAACTGCAACATATAAAAATATACTTTAATATTAATTATTTTTACAAAGCTATATCTTACTTTCCAGTCACTTTCATGATAGAACAATCAATTTAAACATAATCTAATTTACTGAGTCATAATATAACTTATTTTTAACATGCATTGATTCGTTGTTGTTAACTGAGGGGATGGCGACACTTCAGCTTTAGCGAAAACAAGTGCTATTTTTAATTATTTAAGACGAGGATTGTGGATGCTATTTGATTGAATGATTTTGTTTGCTTGTTTGATTTGAATTTCGCACAAAGCTACACGAGGGCTATCTGCACTAGCCGTCCCTAATTTAGCAGTGTAAGACTAGAGGGAAGGAAGCTAGTCATCACCACCCACCGCCAACTCTTGGGTTACTCTTTTACCAACGAATAGTGGGATTGACCGTCACATTATAACGCCCCCACGGCTGAAAGGGCGAGCATGTTTGGTGTGACGGGGATTTGAACCCGCGACCCTCAGATTGCGATTCGAGTGCCTTAACCACCTGGCCATGCCGGGCCCGATATCGGACATAATCATTTTAGCCCACCGATTTGATAAACAAAGGTGGTTTATAGTAAAACTACATCATTATGAGCATCTTTTGGTAAGAATACAATGTAATGTTGATGATTGGCTTATCATTATAAAAATTTAAAAGGACGTAACATTCGGCTTGCAACTTGGCATATTAATTTTTCTCGCTATTTCAGATGAGTTCAATAAAGAAAAAAATATCCGTTAATTTATCAAAAACAAGTGTACAGAAAATTGTAATTCACATTAAGTTATGAATTACCAGTATTTAGAAATATTTCCTTGTCATAAAAAGACAAATGTCTCGCGAAGTAATCGCTAAGTATCAGTATCATCGTGTTATTAAGCCTCGCCCAACCGGATGGCCACTTAATGGTTCGACGTGCAAGTTGCAAGTAAACTTTACTCGCCTAGGAAAAACCTCTGATAGGGCAAAGCAAAATGCTGAAACGAAACAAGAGTTTTATATATATGTATTTATTTAGTTAATCTAATTATTATATCAAAAAGGTAAGTACATCTGAGTAAGTACAAATACCAAGTCGTAATCTTGTCATAACCACATCTTGATGTCTGTTGTTTAGAACAATATAATTTTTCGGTAATGGCGAACATAAAAGCAACTTTTATGTATGTCGTCCCACCTGTGAATTGACCAGTTCTCTGACAAAGAAGACGTTATATTTTTATAGAGCAGACTTGATACATAATTCCTTCATCAGTAAGCGTAAATTAATTATAGAAAACAATATTCTCACAGCAAACCAGAGTGGTTACAGCGCCTGTGTGAGTTATACAACGAAACAACATTAAGAGTCTGAAAAGCTAACAACGTGATAAAATGACTTCGGAGCATTAACTCACCAGAAAGATAATGTTAAGAAAAGATTTACAAATTCGGCAACAAAACCACCAGAGGGATCTGAAAGACGATAACACAAAAGTGTATTGAATTTTCAGGCACAAGTAGAACAAGCACTGTGCCCATCGGTATAAATTCTCAAGAAGTATTGAAATTTCTGAAATGTAATCATGAATCATAACTGTTTTGTAAAATAACCCTATTTCTAGGACGTTCTGTAACTTTAAAATCGACAATAACATTGCAAAGAGGAGACCCCTCCCCCCAGTACAATGCAGGATTCTAATTGGGAGAAGAATAGGCTTTAAAAAAAAGATGAGCGAACCTGACAGCACTCACTAGTATAATAGGATATGAAGAATCTTGCTCCTTATAGTGATAAAAGAGGGTGTTTGTTTCCTTATGTAATATTTGGTATATCAATATTTTCATTATATGTAATAACCATATACTAAAATTTCAATGCAGAAAAGGAAACATTCCCTAGTATCAACCTAGGTTTGAAGTAAGTCTAAATTTTTTTGAAAAGTATCGCATGTGAAACAAAGATCACATCACTGTCTCTAAAATAAATATCTTCTACAAAAATAACACCATTATCACTTTGGAAACACTGTATGAAATAACAATTTATAACATGAATAAATTGTGAACCAGCTTGTAACTCTAAGAAACTTCACTTGTAAAAACTATATATATATATATAAAGAAGAGTGGGTATTTTGGATTTTGAAAACTGATGTAAGCTCGTGCAAATAATTATACGGCCATCACAAAATTTTATCTCTGTGCCAAAGACTATAAATATTTTGGAGTAACCCATCAACCTAAATATGATTAAAAGTACACTCAATATCTAAAAAAAGTAAAGAAAAAACGTTTCAAAAAATGAAGTAAAAGTAGAGATGGCTGACATCAATCCTTCAAAAACAAT